TGAGTTACCATGACAACAGATAATCAACACTTAATCTTTACATCATGACCTCACACATCCAGCTTAAAGCTAAAATCATGGAACAGTTTTCTCTACTTTGTTGGAAGTAAACATTCATTGTAGACACATTTAAATGTTTCAGATGTATTATTGTGGACGGAGGATGAAGGTTTTATTTTTCTCAGTGTGTGATGTGTTCAGGGAGGTGAGCGAGCATGAACGAGGCTGGAGGATTGACGCTGTGTTGTAGTCAAGACCACTGCAACCGAGACCAGGACATACCTGAGACCAGAGTGCTCTAAGACCAAGGCCAAGACTTTTAGGGATCCAGACCGAGTCAAAACCAAGACAATAAATATCACTGAATCATCATCTGGTGTGCAGGGGGCGTGTCCCTCTCAAACTACAAATGAATTCAAGTTCAGAAAGAGGCGTTTTCCATTTAATCAAAGTAATGATGTTTAAAAAACGGCGATCAGTGGTGGTCTTGATTTAAAACCCGGAGTCCGCCCAGTCTGAGACCGAGACAAGACCGAGTAGAAAGGCTTTCGATTTCGAGACAAGACCTTCAAAAAGCGATCTGGAGACCAAGACCGATTTTTAGTACTACAAAACTAGCTTAAAGCACCGATGAGAGATTTCAAGTTTGTACATTTTTAGCATGCATGGGCTACAGCTCACCGTTTCCTGGATAACTTCTTGTGGATTAATTCAGGAAGAATTCTACAATATAGTTTTAGTTGGTCAATAATTAGGAATTTCAGGGGACTCCTTATGGGGTCTGGTCCGATAAGGGGACGCCTGCGTTAAGGAGTGGAACAGGTAAACCTAGGAAGTTCATTTTTGGCCGGCCCTGCCAAGGAGCCACTTAAAAAATCTGCTCTTAAAAAATACATTTTAGGATGTGCTGGTGGGGCAGTGGTTAGAGCCGGGCCCTATGTACAGAGGCTGTGGTCCTCCAGGTGGGGGCCCGGGTTCGAGTCCAACCTGTGGCTCCGTTCCCCTCTCTCTCTTTCTCTGGTTTCCACTTTATCATGAAACTGTGTTTGTTGATGTTAGGTTTGCTGAAACACCTGAAAAAGTGTGTGTGTGTGTGTGTGTGTGTGTGTGAGTGTGTGTGTGTGTGTGTGTGTGTGAGTGTGTGTGTGTGTGTGTGTGTGTGTCTCTGTGTGTGTGTGTGTGTCTGTGTGTGTGTGTGTGTGTGAGTGTGTGTGTGTGTGTGTGTGTGTGTGTGTGTGTGTGGTGTGTGTGTGTGTGTGTGTGTGTGTGTGTGTGTGTGTGTGTGTGTCTCTGTGTGTGTGTGTGTGTGTGTGTGTGTGTGTGTGTGTGTGTGAGTGTGTGTGTGTGTGTGTGTGGTGAGGGAGGTGGTAAGTGAGGGGACAAATTCTGCACCTTGGGTGTGAAACATAGCTGGACCTGGAGGGTCAGCCAGAGGTGGGCAGTAAATGTCCTCTAACTGTAAAACGCTGACGTTCACACAGAGAGAGTAACATGTTTAATACAACAAGAATGAACTGAGTCAGACGAACGCAGGAAACAGGAAACATGTGACATGAGTTAACTTAATGTTATAGAAAACGATTGCATGAGCCTTACAATGCATTTCCTTTATCTCTCTTATTATCATGCATTAACCGGCCGGGTCTCATTCATGCTATCGGTTGGATGAAATGTTTTCATGTTTCCCTCCAAGCCGAGAATTGAGCCGAACCTTCAGTCTGCCGTCCTGATGAACCTGGTGGACAGGTGAACCTGGTGGACAGGTGAACCTGGTGAACAGGTGAACCTGGTGGAAAGGTGAACCTGGTGAACAGGTGAACCTGGTGAACAGATGAACCTGGTGGACAGATGAACAGATGAACCTGGTGAACAGGTGAACCTGGTGGACAGGTGAACCTGGTGGACAGGTGAACCTGGTGAACAGATGAACAGATGAACCTGGTGAACAGGTGAACCTGGTGGACAGGTGAACCTGGTGAACAGATGAACAGATGAACAGATGAACAGATGAACAGATGAACAGATGAACAGATGAACCTGGTGGACAGGTGAACCTGGTGGACAGCTGAACCTGGTGGACAGATGAACAGGTGAACCTGGTGAACAGATGAACCTGGTGGACAGATGAACAGGTGAACCTGGTGAACAGATGAACCTGGTGGACAGATGAGCAGAGAGTCTTTCACACCTCAGACAGAGTAAACACATCCTCCTCCTACTACTGGCACTTGCTCACAGTTGTGTGCTGCCATGTTTTTACAAGCCCTCCTTACTTTACCCCCCTCACCCCCCCTCCAACACACACACACACCACACACACACACACACACACACACACACACACACACACACACACACACACACACACACACACACACACACACACACACACACACACACACACACACACAGTGATACTCAGCTCCCACTCAATGTTTCTAGAAAGCAGTAAAGGATTTTTCAAATGTAAGCTTACCTGAAAGTGTAAAGACATGATCATCAGCTGAACTAAAATTAACCTGAAATATATTGTTACGTTATTATGATATAAAGCTCCAATCAGTGAGCTGTGTAGAGAGTGAGATGATAAAGGTATCTTACTCTCTGATCATTAAGGAAACATGCTATGTTGAAGTGCTGGCTTCTCTGACAACAATGCAGCAGCCAGTATGTCCTCCTTCTAACTTTAGATTCTGCTCCTGAATGCTCTGGATTTGTTTGGACCAGAGAAGGTAGGCGCTTTTAAGACCCCCCACACGGCCGTTTTGGACACCCCTCAGTTTGTCAGATATGAGAGCAGTTATCAGGTCAACAGTTTGCAGTGATGGAAGCGGTCAAGAGAAGTGGTTCAGATAGAAGTGATTGTACCCGACCTAAAAAGCCTCTGCATGTTCTAATAAGCTCCACGAGCAGAAACGTGCTCAAACTAGGATCAATATTGGAGATGCTTTTGAAAAATGGAGAGAGGTTAAACACAGAAAGGTTTACAGACCCATGCAGAGCTGGATAAACACTGAAGCTTCAGAGTCCACCACATGGTGACCTGAGTGAGGGGGGGGGGAGACAGCTCTCTATGATGTTTAGAATCTGGACTGCAGTACACATTTTAAACACTAGGGGTCAGAGTTACATACTGCTCCTTTAAAAGAAGTTAATGTAGTTAGAAGTTAATGTTTTTTACATTTTAGCGTTTGATCATCTTCAGGATCTGGTGTTTACCTGCACACAGAGAAACCTTGGTTCTTCACATCCTTCTATACATGATGAATACGAGTACACAAATATTGTTTTATTCCAGTTACATTTGTAGAGATCTACTTTCATATAAGTTTCTTCTTTAATGACTCTTTTAAAACACACACGCTCTTAAGCCCTCAGCTTTATTCAAGTCATGACGGAGCTTCTATGTTACAGCTAATATACACAGGTCTACAGTATGTACAACAACAAGTAACGGTGGTCAGACTATTGTGATTCAGTACATTCACATACACGTGGGGAACATTCACTCTCGCACACACACACACACGGCTCAGTCACACGCAGGAAAGTAACATGCTCCTTAGAAATCTTGACACATGTCGTCAGAAATGCAGCAGGTTCTGTCACAAGTGAGCATTTTTATCAAAACAGCTAATCTCACAGATTCACGTCATTCTCTCTCTTTTAGAAAACAAAAACAAGACATAAATAAATAAACACAACAGTTCCTTAAACGTCGTCATGGCAGGATGTGACTCTGATCCTATAGAACCCACTACAGAACCAACGCTACGATTAAAGGAAGAATGTGCAACATTTAAAATAAATCATAAATCCAGTCTGTCCTGTGTAAATGTGTCTCTGAGTCCTGACTGTCTACAATGAGGGAGAAGCTCGAGTCCCGCTGGCTGTGTTGTTGTCAGAGCCGTGTTTACATGGACGGGACGGCCGGCTCCTCCCCTTGTGTATAAAAGCTGTTTTAGTCAAGAACTAGAGAGAAGAAGAAGAACATACTCACTGATTATTTGGATGTTAGTAAGAGTTTTTAGATCACGCTCATTCTGTGTCAGTTTACATGAAATGTGAAGCTACGAGCTAACTAAAGAGCGCTAACATTAGCATGCTAACACAACAATGTGAAGCTGCGAGCTAACTAAAGAGCGCTAACATTAGCATGCTAACACAACAATGCAGGACACAGGTGTAGCTCGAGCAAAGGACAATTTTCTACGTTGCTCGTGCTTAACTCCTCAAAGTGAACGCGAGTGTAAGAGGGGTTGGAGGTGTGTCTCTGGAGGAGGGCGGAGGCTTCAGTATGGAGGAGGCGTGGCCAAACAGCAGTTTGTTTTGGTTTTCATGCTGGAGCTCAAGGGCGACATCTACTGGATCAAAAAGTCGCACATTCTTCCTTTAAGAACAGACATGACGTCTCAGATGATGACAAAGAAAAAAAGACAAACGGGAGGAGAGTCCGGTGGGCTGTTCGGGGTTTGATCAGAAATGAACAGCGAAGAGTCAGTAAGAAAAAAAACAAACAAACATGTGAACTAAAAATCGACTCTCTACATAAAACACAGGACGGTGCAGAGTGAATAAAGAGGGGATGAAACGGAAAGAGGTGTTTCTCTGAATAACATAAATCCAGCAGGTATATTGCTGCGGAGCCTTGGCAGTGAACACATCAGGTCATCACTATAAAGTCCTCTCTCTCTCGCTCTCTCTCTCTCTTTGCTTTATTTTCCAACAGGGAATGAACTCAAAGCACAACATGGTCAAATGAACTACAACACCTTCAAATACAGACACGGTTTCAGCTCATAATAATCTTTCTTTTTACACAAACCTCAAACAAAACAAACGTTTCTACTGTGTGTGTGTGTGTGTGTGTGTGTGTGTTGGTGTGTGTGGTGTGTGTTGTGTGTGTGTGTGTGTGTGTGTGTGTGTGTTGTGTGTGTGTGTGTGTGTGTGTCAGACAGAAGGATGGGCAAAGGAAATGACAAACACAGGTTTCATATCATGTGACAGGAACGCTGGGCAGCCTGAGGAGCTTACAGAGGGAATAGAAAGCAACCACAGGTTCACATAGGCAACCAGACAGGTGTTCAACATTTGTTTTAATCATGTAACCACGGCGGACTCATACACACAGCGAGCACAGCACGGCCTTCTTCACTCGTCTTTCCATTTCAGTTCTAGCTGACACTTTCCCCGGGTTAGATTTTTCTCAGAGCTGTGCTTGCGTTTGGGGGGCCTGGAGGGTTGCAGGAGTTTGGCTTTTCAAGAGAGGAGTTTCTCCCGGGTTTCAGGCAGCTTGAGAGCCACCAGACCGCCGCAGACGAGGGCGGCAAAGGCCAGGAAGATGGGAACGATCTTGGTGACGCCGATGAAGGCTGCAAAGATGAAGCTGGCGAGGATGGCTGCAAACTTGCAGATTCCATTTAGGATACCAAAGGCCGTCCCTCTGCAGAGTCACAGAGACAGAGACAGATTAGATGCATAAACTTCATACGTCTGAGCGAGGAACTGAATATATTTAGACAATTCAAGTCGTTTTCTCTGAGGGAGATTAGATTGCTGCAAAAAAATCTAGAAAATGAGAAATGAGAAATTTGTAGACAAAAAAAGAGTCGAGTCATCTTTGTGTGAGACTTTTAAGATGAATTACAATTCATGATATCCTTAGTAGAGGAGCTTAATTATCCTTTTGCAAGAACCAATCAGATAGAAGTGATTGTACCCGACCTAAAAAGCCTCTGCATGTTTCTAATAAGCTCCACGAGCAGAAACGTGCTCAAACTAGGATCAATATTGGAGATGCTTTTGAAAAATGGAGAGAGGTTAGAACACAGAAAGGTTTACAGACCCATGCAGAGCTGGATAAACACTGAAGCTTCAGAGTCCACCACATGGTGACCTGAGTGAGCATCCACTCTAGAGAGGAGGGGGAGGGGGGGGAGACAGCTCTCTATGATGTTTAGAATTTAGACTGCAGTACCCATTTTAAACACTAGGGGTCAGAGTTACATACTGCTCCTTTATAAAAGAAGTTAATGTAGTTAGAAGTTAATGGTTTTTACATTTTAGCGTTTGATCATCTTCAGGATCTGGTCTTCACCTGCACACAGAGAAACCTTGGTTCTTCACATCCTTCTATACATGATGAATACGAGCATCCTGCTTTATGATAACTGCATCTTATCTGTGCAGGCGTCTCACTTACTCCATCATACGTGCTGGGACACCAGCGACCTGTAACCTGTTTACTAAAGGCTTGACATCAGTGGAAAATGGTGACCATTGGAATAAAGTGAGCCAGAGAAAGACCTAATGGAATAGGAGATTAGATAAAATGTGGGATCATCTTTTACTGCACCTTTTAGCAGAGGGATAGAGTTCAACAGAAATGACCTCTAATCCATTCCAGGCCGCCACGCTGGCACCATAGAAGAGACACTGCCAGCATATTACAGCTCCTTGGCTGAAACTCAGCAGCAACAGGAAAGTACAGGCTGCGGACACCAACATGGAGCCACCTGAAACAAGAGAGAAACCATCAGGACAATAACTACACACACACACAAATATCTATACAGCCACTGATAACCAAAAGGTCACCTATAATTCTGATTCGTCCGATCTTGTCCATGAACAACGCTGAGATGATGTTGCCAGGCAACACAGCCAAACTGCCCAGGAAGCTGACCATGTAGATGACGATGTCGTTCTCTTCCTGGAAGTTCATATGGCAGCCTTTCTTTGGGTGGAGGAAGGTGGTGTTCTCCATTCGACAGTCTTTGAACTTCTCCTGCCAGAGGTCTGGAGAACACAAAAACAATTCATATCAACAATATTTATTAGAGGATCTCAGGGTGGCCGTGTCCCATTAGCCATAAGGTTTTCCTGAAAGTGGGCATTTGTTTACCCTAACCCTAACCCTAAGTACAGACGGAGCGGGGACTGTTGATGAAAGGGTGTAGGTGAGTTTTTCTTGGCTCTCAATTCTCGGCTTCCCTGTCTGATCATGGATTATGGTTGGGAACAACCGTTTTGCTCGCCCATTGGTTTGCTGTTCTAAACGTCACTAGACTACAGGGATTCTGGTAATATAGCCTTAAATAAAGTGAGGTCTGATGCGGACTTGTGGTGCATTAAGGTGCAAGAGGGCGACCCATGCAGAACAACACTAGAGAAGTGGGACTCCTCATGGTCTAGCACCCTTTAGCAAGGGGGGAAGTGTGGATATTGGGAAAGGCCGTGACTCAAGACAATCCAATCCAATAAAATGTTTGATACATGGCCCATGAAAGCGATTTTTAACAATAGGGCGACTCCACCTTCAAAACTGGGACCACCCAAGGAGCACCTGAATGCAGCGTTTCTGTGTTTCTTTCCTTCTGTCAGGTCATACGACCAAACACTGGTGTTCCCTTTAGTAAGGAATCTTGGATTTGGCCCTCTGGCAAAAAAAGCCCAGGATTTTTGAGAGGGACCTGGGGGCTATTCTTTTTTCTCTAAAAGGTCCATAGAGATCAGATCAATCATCAAAACAGCTCAGCCAGAGAATGGTCACAGAATTGAGGTTTTGGACCAACTACTTTTTTCTAGATTTTATGTGGCCCTTTGTTGAAGATGGTTTTTGGACTTAAACAGAAATGAGCCTCATTTTGCCTTTTTAAAGGTCCGACAAATAACTAAAAGCAATCATTCTTTGACGACATACGATACCTGTGTTGTAGAAGACGGTGTTTTTGATGGTGCAGTTCTCAAAGAAGGTGTTGGTTGACTTGACGTCCTCAAAGTAGCAGTTTTCAAAAAGAGAATCCTCAAACTTCACCGACTTAATCTCGATGTTTGCAAACCTAGTGGAGAGAAAAAAACAGGAACGTGGTGACTTTAAAGAGCATGACCTGAAGTCTGAGTGAAGTAGATGTAAGTGGTTGATGATGTTGAGGAAACGTACTTGTCATGGATGTACTCGCCCTCGCGGTGGACCTGGTTGACCAGAGAGAAGTTGAAGTGGAAACGCTCAACCCGCTCTCGGTGAAACACTCGGACCTTGGACTCGTACTCCTCATACTGCATGTATTTGATCATATCAGGGAACCAGACTCCCAGGCCGTGGTAGCTGAAACACACAGACACATAACAACATGATCACTTTCGAACATAATGATCCGCATCACTAAACATTTGATTGGTTGATTTGGGTCTTTCCCGGGGACTTTCTTTCCCGTCAGATTAGCTCAGACTTGGAGAAGTTTTAAAAGATCACAGTTTAAGGTTTCCAATGCAAATGCACCAAGAAGGACATATTCAGTGTAATTCAAACAGAACCCTGTTAAGAGGAACCTTTTCAGCTCAGTATAGGTACTCTTCCAGCACTGTGGCGGTGTGAATGAAGACAGTTAAAAGCCTCTCCCTAATGGATAGTCCTCTTAAAAAAGTCCCCAAACGTTTGGTCCCAAAAACACCTTCATCCATCAATCCATCCAACCCTCTACTATCTTTCG